TTTTCAGTAAAATAAGGACCAAATCTCTATGATTCAGTGAGGCCAACTGGCCACTTGGATTTCCTTCATGAAATCCTAGTCTCATGAGGAGCTTTGGCCTTGGCCACAGACCCTAAACCTAATAAACCAGGACAATTTTTCCTCAACTAAGTCCTTCATGTACTATCCTTACGATCTTGACTATATAATTTTGCCATCTGTACTACTTAATATTTTTCTTTAAACGACTACTTTTTAGAATTAAAACTATTGGGGTAACATTGGTTAATAAAATGAAATAGATTTCAAGTGTACAATTCAATAATGCATCATATGTATATTATATCATGTGTTCTAAACAACTCACTTTTTAAACTTAGCATTATCTTAACAAAGGCTTTATGTACTAGTTATTTTTTTTTCTAAATTACATTAAAATAAAATAAGTATTAAATTAAAAATGTTCGTTTAATACCTAAGATCATCATACATATCACCGGCATATACATACCATGCTTTTGGGGACCTCTGAGGAATTTGGGGTCTATAATTTTCTAGGATGCCTATTTTAAGAGGAGTTTTTATTTTTTGTTCTCAGAGGTTTTATTATCTTGTATTATAAATGAAATAAATAAGTCCTTGTGTTATAAATGAAAAGCAGAATAATTTTTTGGTATTTATTGTGCTGCATGAGAAACTCTATTCTTTAGCTTATTATTTTGCATAATTATCTGGTTACAGGAGTTGACAGGTCCTGAAACTATTAGTAAGTAGTCAACTTGTTGCAGATACAAATGTAATATCCTCTCTTAGGTCCCTATGGTTTATAATTTGTTAGCAAAATGGAGCTAAGGGCTCTCTTTGTTATGCTTTTTCTCTTTGTCTGCCCTCAGAATTTGTCAGGAGCATGGGGAATATTACAAATATTTTGCAAGGATTGGAGAAATAAAATTGCACTCAAGTATACATAGCACCATAAAAACAAAGTAAAGAATAGTGACAAGGGAGGTAAGAAATCAGAAAGCATGCATCTTGGATGAGGGAAATGGCTAAAGGAGTAGGTTACATACATAGGAAAATGGGAAGGGAACTCTGATTCCAAATGTGCCAAATAATGGAAGGAGTCAAACAGAATGGTGAGATCAAAGCATGAAAGTCAAATAGGATAGTGTAATACAGATATAACATCTATATAGTAATTTACATCAAACCTTAGTGGTGTAAAACAACAACATGCATTTATTATCTCATATTTCCTGTAGGTAAGGAATCAGGAGTGGCTCAGCTAGGTGGTTTGGTTTCAGAGGGGTCTCATGAGGTTAAGATGTCAGCTGGTGCTGCAGTCATCTGAAGGGTTGACTGGGGCTGGAGGTCCCTCTCCACTCCACACTATGGAGGATTCACATAAGTGATATACATACTGGGTGTTAGCAAAAGGCCTCGGTTTGTCTCCTCTTAGGTTTTTCCAAAGGCCTACTTGAGCAGCCTCATGACATGGCAGCTAGCTCCCCTCAAAGTTGACAAACCAAGAGATCAAGGTGAAACTGCAGTGCTTTTTATGACCTAACATTGGAAAACACATATCACTTCCATCACATTCTGTTCATTAGAACCAAGTCACCAAGTCTAGCTCAAGTTCAAAAGTAGAGAAATTAGCCTTCACTTTGCCAAGGGAGACACTTCATTAGCTTCCACCTTGCCAAGGGAGACACTTCATTAGCCTCCTCAGCTTATCGGTACTCTGAGCTTCACCTCCCTATACCACAGTAAGGAAATTTGTCCCTGGGCAGAGAGCTAGATGGTCATGGAACTCACTTTATGTGCATCCTCTCAGGGATCAATGTCTTGTATTGCTGTTTTCCAATTTCTGAAAATAGTTGCTCCACAGGTTTTTTTTTTTTTTTAACTTCAATTTTATAGTTGTTTACAACAGGCAGGCTACTTTGTTCTAGTTGATATATCAGACAATAATAATTTTTCTGATGAAGAAGGGTGAGTTTTATTTTTACTAATGATTCTTCAGTTTTCCACAGGATTTAGTTTACCTTTGCCTATGTAGTAGCCATTTTAAATGTTTGAAGATTCGAAATAAAAGTTATAATATGGCAGATGTCTGTTAAGCTTAGTATTGTATTCTATCACATTTGCTATTAAATGTTACTTGCAGTTTGTTTCTATTTTTTCTACAACCTCAACAAGATCTTTGGAAAATAGCATTTAATAGAAATTACATTTAAATGCAAAATACATTATTCTTTCCATAAACTTCAAATCACTTTATTAGCATTGCTATTGCTTTGACTAGGCATTTTAACTCAATTGCCTAGAAATTCTGTTTGGAGAAAAACTTATCTGACTCTGGCTTTTTTCTGGATCTATGCTATGCCTAAGCTGCTATTATATGTACATTTATACCCATGTTCTCTGTTATTTTTCTTTAGGATTCCAGACACTTGAATTTTCTGACATCAGAACAAGCTCTGGCTGATTTTGCAGAGTTAATCACACATTTGAGAAAGACAATACCAGGAGCTAAAAATCAACCCGTCATTGCCCTTGGGGGCTCTTATGGTGGCATGCTTGCAGCCTGGTTCAGGATGAAATATCCTCATATGGTGGCTGGGTAAATGCATTTATGTTGGACATGTGTACGTCTTAATGATTGTCAAGGCATACTGAGAGATTTCTTTTAGGAAAACATGCTTCGTTCCATTATACTGAGAGTTCTAGTTTCTTTCTCATTAACAGCTGTTATTTTTCTCACTATTTTTGTTCAATATCAGTTTTAATTTTAAAACTTGAATTCAATGAGTTACTTTTTAAAAATTTTTTTCTCCTTCTTTGTTTTTCTTACCATTTAGAGCTCTTGCAGCCTCTGCCCCGATCTGGCAGTTTGATAATATAGTACCCTGTGGTGTATTTATGGAAATTGTAACTACAGATTATAGGAAAAGTGGCCCAAATTGCGCAGAGTGCATCCGCAGATCCTGGGATGCCATTAATCGAATCGCAGAGAATGGTAAGCTTTAATTAAGAGAATGAGATTATGGGTTTTTTTACATTTCACTTGTTAAGTTCAACATTTCCTACTCTTTCAGTATAAAATTAAAGTATAACGTGCATATTTAAACATAACATACAGAAAAGTACACAAATCGAAATATACAGCTTAATGTATTTTCATGTAGTGAGTATGTAGTATAATCAGCATCTAGATCAAGAAATTCCTTCAGAAGTCTTCTTATGCCCTTTCCAGTCACTGCCTCTTCATTTCCCAGGCTAATCATTATTCTGACTTCTGGAACTGTAGATTAATTTTGCTTGCCCTTGAATTTTTTAGTAATTGGAATGGCAACGGTATGTATTTTTTGTGTCCGCTGTCTTTCGCTCAATATTATGCTTGTCAGATACATCCATTTGTTTTATTTAGTTATGGCTTATGCATTCTCATTGCTCCATAGTGTTCCATTTGTTTGTTTGTTTGTTTATTTCAATAATATCTTTAAAACAGGAAATAATTTAGAATACTAATTCTGGTAAGCTCCATGAGATTATCCAGTTGCTGTAAAAATATCTTATTGAATGTTGAAAAAGTATTCTTGGAGAAGTAGTATAGAAGATTGAATTTTTTTTTAAAATACCAAGTGAAGAATAAATGATCTGTAAAGTCTTATGTTTAGCAGTGCTTTTTAGATTTCAACATTGTGTTCTATCCTTAGGTACTGGCTTGCCTTGGCTTTCTGAAACCCTTCACTTATGCACCCCGTTAAAACATACTCAGGATATTCAGAATTTGAAAGACTGGATCTCTGAAACCTGGATAAATCTGGCAGTGGTGGACTACCCTTATGAGTCTAACTTTTTACAGCCTTTGCCTGCTTGGCCAGTCAAGGTAAGAGGAAAATGTCCTCTCATCACTTCTAATAGTTTTCATTTGTGTGTGTGTGCGCATTCTCTGACGTTCAGCATCTTGGTCAAAGCTGTCTTCTTCCTTAGTCTCTACATCTTGCTCTGCAGAATGGGATAATTATACTAACATTCTCAATAAGGTTGTACTGAGAATCAGATAAAAAAAAATATTGGATGTGAAAACACTCTGGAAAGTGTAAAGACACATTATACTATAAAATTTAAGGTTCTTTTCCTACCAGAACTCTTTATGTATTCTTTTTAAAGCATTCCTTTGTAAAGAACATTCCTCTTAGTTTTAAAAACAAAGGCTGGCCAACATGATGGTTATTAAATTTAGAGAATATGACTGACTCTGCAGCAAGAATGAGTGCTGGAAATGTTAATAGAATTGGTGATACGAGAGCCAGGTTTCAAAAGCACTTTTAATTTAATTGTCCCTTTGAACTACTAAATGCACACCTTGCTTAAAACTTTGAAACCCAAGTGGAACAAGGTTATTTGCTATTAGAAATATTTTTCTTTATCTAAAAAAGTAGAATGACCAGTGAGTGTCTTACACATAGCAGGATAGAGGTCAATGTGTATTGAATTAAATTGAATACAAAGTCCCTCACAGTAAGAAAACCTGGATCAAAATAATGAGAAAAAAAAAATTAAATCTGAACCAATGAATTTCCATATGTGTTTATATACTAATAATGCCTTATCTTTGTATATTATTTACGAAGCACTTTCATATACACTATCCCATTTAATCCCCACAAAAATGCTGTGGAAAAAAGAGGTATGATCTTGGTTTTGTGGAGAGGAAATTTAAGTTCGGCTAAGAGGTAGGGGATGTGGGATTTGAACTCGGGACTACCACTGTTCAGAGCTTATGATTTACCACATTGCACTGGGTTAGGAGAAGACTTAAAGGTTTGGGTGGATCACTGGCCATAGTATGACAACTATCAGAATTAACTCTGTATACAAAGTGAGAATTACATTTGCATCTTTATGCCCACTGGAAGAACAAATGAATTGTCAAGTGATAAAAACACATGGAGAATTTCCTTGTTATTTAGAATAGGGGTTGGCAAACTTTATAAAGGACTATAGTAAATGTTTTAGGTTTTGCAGGCTGTATGGTTACTATGACAGTTACTGAACTCTGCAGGTGTAGCAAGAAAGTTGGACATAGACAATATATAAATGAATGAGGATGACTAGGTTAAAATAGCACTTTATTTAAAACAGGCAGTGGGCTGGATTTAGCCTGGGGGCTATAGTTTGCCAATCCTGATTTAGAAAAAAAGCCAGAAGAATACAGCTTTTTAGTATTTGTTTAAAATGTAGAACAGCCTCACTTTGGTTTTCACCTCATCTCTTTAATGTTTCCTTGGAGATATTTCACTTTTGAGTCTTAAATGTAAGTAAATATTTCGCCTTTTCTCCTAATCATTCAAAGTGAGTGAGTATATCTCAAATGTTTTGTTATCTGTTTTCAATTTAGCACAATTCTTTCATTTATGAGTATATACATTATAAAAGTTTATTTTTAAGGCAAGATAACTTTGTCTTTGCCCCATAATCACTTATTATTTCTTTTATCCAGGACTAGTTGTCGTCATTTTTCTTCAGTTATTTCTTACCAACTTTATCCCTTCCTTTTGACATGTTAAGAAATTCTCGATTGCCTGTAATGTATTTATGATTCTGTTTCCTGTCTGTACCCCACCAAAAGTAATCTTCCTTTGGCTCTTGCTTGAGAAACTTCCACTGCCTACATTTGTCTTCAGTTTCAGCCTATCTGATTTGAGAATTTTTCCACTACTTGTCTCCCTCACAAACTTTCAGCCTCAGATCACTTTCTTTCACTGTTCATTCTATTTCTCCTTTCTTGACCCCCTCTCTGTTCTCCCAACCCACTAATCCCTGGAACACTACCCAGTTGGGGACCGTTCTTTCACTTGGGTAGTTCCATTTAATCAGGGCTCCTCCTCCCTCTGATACACTTCCTCCTTTTTAAAGGGCTGACAAACAGTCGTTCTTTTCTGAGTCTGTAACTCAGGCTTAGGATGGTGAGATAATATGTAACAGCTGGGTTATGGAAAAAAAGCAGGTGATTTCCAATTTTGTCTGTACCTTGTACAGTTCTGAAGGATCCATACATAGGCAGTGACTAAATGCCATTTTCTGTTTCAACTCAAGTATCATTCTTTTGTCTTTGAGCTTTGCACACTCAGACTCCATTTGCTTTTGTTTACTGTTAACAGAAGCTGCAACATTCATGCAGAAATAATCATGTACTTGGCTGATAGAACACAAGGAAGAAGAGAAAAGGGAAATAGAAAACTCCTCTGTCATTTGACTGCTCTGTCAGCATAACTACTAGGTCTCTTCTTAGCTTAAAGAGCATTTTAAAAGGATACAGAGTTTATTTTGGAAATTTTTTTTTTTTTAGCTGATAACTCACCAAATCTTTTAGCTTAGACTTCTGAGCATGCAGATAGATACTGTGAAATAATAAGACATAAAATGGAAAATCTCTTCCGTTTGTCTTGGTATTTGATAATGTATGCGACCTCTCTGGGTGGTTTAAGCGGTTTAGGTACTTTCTATGAAAAGGGATCTTTTAATGACAAAACTAATGTGATTATCTGAGTGAGTGTGAGAGGGGTATTGAAGCCTTAGAGAATGAAATCTGTTAGAAAAGCTGAATGTATCTGCTTAATCCTTTCTCTAATGTGGATGGACCATACTCTCTGAGAGGAGATTGGTCTTTTTTTTTTTTTAAACCTATCTTCTTTCCTTCCTCTTTTAAAAAATTTTCTTTGCCCTCTTTTTCTTGCTTTTATTCAAATGCTTATCCTCATAGGTGGGGGGACACCTAAATTAAGCTTTTAAGCAAATCGCTATCTTTACTTTCTCTGGTGTTCATGGGCTCAAAGGGTAGAATCTAAATATTTCGGTGCAGAGCTGATTAGTTTGGTAGTAAGTTTGGAATGTTCTACTATCTCCATGATTTCTATACTCTTTAAAACCAGAAATATTAAAATGGTCTTCTAATGTTCTTTTTAAGTTTTTTGTGGATGTTCACCTTTGTTCTGGGAAGTAGAAAGTAAATTGTTTGTCCATTTTATATGATTCTTGAGCATCACATTATTGTTTTATTGTTTTTACTATAGCATAATGAAACAGTTTTATGATTTTATATTGCTACAGGTTCCCTTCTAAGTTTTTATCAAAAACAAATAATCATAAAAATATAAGGACAATCTAAGAATTAAGCATGAGATTACAGATTTATTTAGGCACTGTTTCTGTTATTTGTCTCTTACACTGTAACATCAGAGTTGAGTAGGTGCAGTGTAGTGATTACAAATGGAAGCTTCATAGTGAGTCTATTTGAATCTGCCTTTGTCACTTCCTGGCTGTGTGGCTTTGGACAAGTTTATTAACCACTCTCTGTTTTAGTTTCCTCATTTGCAAAATGGGGATAATAGTACTTTTAATGCTTGTTAGGATCATTATGAGGATTTAATAGGACTTGGTATATAGTGAGCACTAAATTGATACTAGTTATATAATAATAACAATAGCTGTTATTGTTATATAATATCAGGGAGACAGATTGTTATACCAGGACTTTTTGACCAAGATCCGGGTTCAGAACCTATATTCATAGTTTTAAGTTATATATCTGTAGCCAGACCTCTTTGAGCTTGTTTCTTCCTCTGTGAAATGGGAAAGGTCATTTATATATTTCTCCCTGGGTCATTATAATGAAAATACCTGACCTCAAGAAACATTCAATAGTTGTACTAGCAACTTCAGCCCCAGCTGCCCCTAAAATAGTGAATTTATATCATAAGTAGGAGTGCATTGCCTTATGTAGAAATTGTTTAGAAGATAGTGTTTGTTCGTGTCCACAAAATAAATAGAAAATATAGTACAGGGATTACCTCCATGTTGAGTATTTTGGATGGAAGTGGTTGGCAGGGACTCTTTCCTTGTCGTCTGATTAAATCATAGCCTATAGGTAAACAATCAACAGATTGCCCTCATCAGGTGGGTAGTATCTGAAAATTATCAGGTTTAAGCTGAAGTATTATATAAGGTTGAACCCAATGTGCCAATAGTTAAATGTGTTTGACTTATAAACATAGCAATTTCATAGGGTTCAAATTAACATTTACATATGTTTTGTGTATCCTATAGATCTTTAATAAAAATATATATGACTATCTCTCTTTGAATTACTACAGTCTTTGAATAAGTATAGAAGTATGGGAATAGTGCTGAGGTTTTAACAGTATGATTTCAGTATTTTTTGGAAAACTTCATTCACCCTTTGCTACCAAAATTGTTAAGGAAATGCATAGAGATATGTAGAGATTGTGTTTTTATGCTAGAGGATGATGCTTGAACTCACAGAATCTTTGAGTTACTAAGGAACTTTAGAATCACCTAAAATTAAAATATTTCCTTAGTTAATTTGCAAAAAAAAAAAAAAAATTAGTGATATTTTTCTGGCCTATCTAGTGGATAGGTAGAATTAATAATTGGTACTTCCTTTCTATAAGGCATTTGACAGGATGTTGCAACAGCTTTAAAAATGTTTACTTCCTCCGAACCAATAATTCCTCTAAGAATTTATTTCAAGAAAACAATTAGGGATGTATGTAAAGATATAGCCCCAAGGTTGTTTATTTTAGCCTTATTTATAATGAAAGATTGAGAGTGATAACAAATGACAAATTGTAGGGTTTCTTCAACTATTTCTCAATTTCCTATCTTGATTGCTACCCTCTGGATTTTCTCATGTTGGTCAGTGTCCTTCTTAAAGTGTGGTATTCAGAACTGGACCCAGTATTCCAGGATTGCCCTTAATCTGGACATGGAATTTCTATAATCAGAGGCCAAGTTTCTGACCATGATCTTCTCTTTGTATAACTGGGGCTGCCGAAACCCAAGTATTATCAACTAGTTCTGGTCCCCAGCCATGCTTGTGTCTTCTAAAGAGTGACAGTAACTGCCCATTGCAGGGATGGCTATTCATGGGGACTCCTTTTCTTTGCCCGACAGAGGCCCAGTGTTCTAGCTCTGAGAGGGGATCTGATGCCAGCATGTGAGTCACACTCATTTGCTACTGTTCTTTTCCAAAGTTTTAGATCATTTGTTGCTGCACTTCACCCCCTTTTCCCCCTGCCCAGCTTGCACTGTCACCCTGCCTCATCTACCATGCTGTGCTTGAACATAATGCTCTTCTCTGCATTCCATGTGTCTATCTGTAGTTTTGTGCTGCATTTTGAAAGAGATGAATTCACTGTTGGTGTCTGCATTCAAGGAAGAATGCTGATTAACTCTTGGTAATAGATAGTTTAATAAATTCTGTGATTGGTTCTTGATCTCCATATTTTCTTGGGTATTTCCGATTGGCATATTTCTTAGGAACATTTTCTGAGAAAAGCGCTATATAATTAGGTATTTTTTGACTTAACATGAATAATTGAGAATTGTTAGAATAGTAAAACACCGTTTTGCCTTTTTTTCTTCAACCTGCATTTCCTTATTTCTTTAGGCTTGATAGGTTTGGAAAGCTCTCAGTTTAGTTCAATTCTCTTTCTTTATGTATATTTTAAACCCTCGTGTATAACATCACGGTTCCTTTTTTAAGGTATAGTGTGTCCCATTATTTAGACATCTTAATTTCTGACTTTTGTCACATTCAACATTTCTAAAAACTTACTGGGATTAATGCATACTCCATCACCCTTTTGGAAAGTCACATTGTCCTTGAGCTTGTTAAAGGCTGTGAGAAATCCTACAGTCAAGAAAACTGTTCACATTAGCTAAAACATTTTCTAAAATTGAAACATTTTTTCACAGAGTACATTTAACATTCCATAGAAATTTTGTTGGGCTGATACATTTAAGGAGAGGCATGGATTTTTGTTTGTTTGTTTTCTATAATTCATTTCCTCTGTCTTTTCACGTTTCCCTTTTTTTCAGGAAAGGATTGCTGGAAGCTGGTCCTAGGCCAAACTGTGATGAGAGGCTGGGTTTGCTTGTAGCCACTTACCCTCCTTTCTCAGTATCCTCCTTTCTTGACTGGGCGTATAACCCCAACCCAGGCCTTGTTGCTCCTGATGCCCAGAATCTCTCTCTGAAGTGAGGTTACTGGACTCTTTCCTCACTGGCTCCTTCTTCTCTGAATTCATTTCCTTATTGTTTTTTTTTTTTGTCAGAACTTCCCTGTGTATATATTTTTTCTGTATGAAGTGAGAAAGGATCAGATCACTGAATTGATGTGAAGGTGTTAATAGAGGATGGAAACTTAATGTGTTTTCCTTGCGATTAGGGCTATTTACAATTTTACAAGAGGATACTACCTAAGCTGTGTAGCATAATGGATAAGATGTATATTTTATAACCAAAACGACCTAGGATTGAATCTAGCCCTGGATTACTAACTGGATGACCTAGAATAAAGTGATTTGACCTAAGAATCAATTTCTTCATGTAAAATAGTGGACAGTAATATATCTAATAGGACTGTTTGAGGATTAAATGATGTAATGGTTGTAAAGCTAGTGCTCAATAATCACTAGCTATGGTTGTTGTTATTCAGCTATGATTCCTTGTCTGTGATTTTCCTCCATCATTTTATTGTGAAAAATTTTCAGCACTGAAAAGTTGAAATAATTGGACAGTGAACACCTGTAAACCTACCACCTAAATTCTATAAATTTTTGCTGTATTTGATTTATCACAAATATGTATTCACCTATCTTTCAGTCTATCCTTGATTCCATCTTATTATTAAATGCACTTCAAAGTAAGTTGCTGACATCAATACACTTACTAAATACTTCAGCGTTAACATCATTAACTAGACTTTAGTATTTGTTTATGATTTTTTTTGAGGTGCAATTTACATACAGTAAAATATACAAATTGTAAGTGTTCTGTTTGTTGTGTAACCCAGACCTCTATGATAATATGGAATATTTCCATACTCCTGAATGTTCCCCATGCTTTTGTCTAGTCAAGACCCTGCCTTCACTCCCAATTCCGAGTATCACGTGTGACTTTTAGAACTAGAATTTCAGGCACTGACTATAGTCTAGTGATAGGAGTATTTGAGAGCTGGGGAACTGCCTGATCTGCTTATCATACCACAGATGTTCAAGCTTGGTATAATTTTTCCATAAGAAATTTTATAAATTTCGTGCTATAAAAATGTAGTCATTCATCCAGTAAACATTTAATTGCCAGATAATTTTGCTAAAGTTATCTGGTGAGTTGAAGGAGACATACTGGAATCAAATGAATACTGTACTCTGATATAAATAGACACAGGGCATAGTGGAGGCATAAAGAAGGGAGTGATTGGGTTTTCTCTATTTGAGGGCATAGGCAACAATGGCCTCATAGGGGAGGTGATACTTGAGCTGAGTATTGTGGAAGACGAGTTGATATTTGCCAGGCATTAGTGGAGTGAGAGAGTAGAAAAGGCATTTCTGGGTGAGCAAAGGCGAAGAGGAAGGAAAGAGTTTGGTGTGCTGGAAATGGTTTTGGTAGGCTGGAACAAAGGCTGTAGGAGGTGAGGTGAGGTGGGTAGATGGAGAGGACTTTGTATGCTATGCAGATGGCTTTGGTTTATTTCTATAGCGTATTTTAAAAGATTCGTTCATTTTTTAAGGAGATTATACTCAAAAGGTAGAAATTGTCAAGAAATATAGTTAAATGCTTAAGATTATTTTATGATCAAATCAAAGTCATATGTCTTCTTTGTTTTATTACACTACAATTTTATATCTTTATTCTGACTCTTCTCCCTTTTATCTCTAAAATGACAGGTAGTGTGCCAGTATTTGAAAGATCCCAGTGTATCTGATCCACAGTTGCTGCAGAATATTTTCCAAGCTCTGAACATATATTATAATTATACAGGCCAGGCGAGATGTCTGAATATGTCAGAGACATCAACTAGCAGTCTGGGATCCCTGGGTTGGAGCTATCAAGTAAGTGCGTATAATTTCCCCACTTTTCACTGATATGATTGTGCTGTAACAGAGACTTTGCAAGATTTTGTTACCTAACTTGGATCTTAATCTGGGCTCTGTTACCTTACACGCTAAGAGCATGGAAAAATTTCTTCATTCATTCAGTCAGTCATTCATTCATGTATTTAATAATCACCACATACATTCTGAATACTTACCGTGTGTCAAGTACCATTCTAGGCTCCAAAGATACAAAGATAAATAAGACTTGATCTTACTGTCAAACGTAGCTTGTTGAAAAAGAAAGTTAACTAAAATAATATTACAATCGATCTTGATAAATCCTATAAATGGATCATTTTATGGACACATAGAAGGGGTGTCTAACTTAATTCTGTTTGAGCCTCCATTTCTTCATTTGAACAATGAGGAGACTACTACTACTACTACTGCTACTGCTGCTGCTGCTGCTACTACTTTCCCTCCAGAGTTGTTTTGAGGATTAAGTATGACAATAGATGTGAAAGAAAGCAGTTTACAAAGAACGAATATATATCCCTAATTTCTGTGACTTCTCAACTGAATTTTTTCAAGAATAATGAGAAGTGGTATGGCATAGAGGTAAAGAGCAGGGGCTCTGAAGCCAGACTGCTTGAATTTAAACTGCTTACTAGCTGTATGACCTTGGAAAATTTATTTAACCTCTTTGTGCCTCATTTTTTCACTGGATTCTTCTGTTTTGCTTTCCCAGGCCTGCACAGAAATGGTCATGCCCTTTTGTACAAATGGTATCGATGACATGTTTGAACCTCACTCGTGGGACTTGGAAGAATTTTCTGATTATTGTTTTAGACAGTGGGGTGTGAGACCAAGGCCCTCCTGGATCACTACACTGTATGGAGGCAAAAACATCAGTTCCCATACAAACATCATTTTCAGGTGAGTTTTTGCTGGTTCAAAAAAAAACTTTGGTTGATGGAAACATTTGTAGAATAGCTGAGAAAATAGAACCAGGAAAATGCTGGATGATAAAACAATCTAGACTACAACAGTGGTATCCATCAGGTTTTCCTACTCCTTGAAAGACAGAATGCTGAAAAGAGATATAATTTTACACTCTATTACAATGTGCCCAAAGTCTTAAAAAGAACATAGCAACAAGATTAAAATATTTTTTTAAAAAGCTTCTCAGCACAAAATGAAGCATCATCTGTTGTTCTCAATTCGTCTTACTGTTGTTCCTGTTGTTATTAATAGTAATAAAAAAAATTCAGTATTTATTCAACAAACTCATTTGAAGTACCCGGGCTGTACTGTTATAGGCACTTAAATTACTTAAAATTGAATCCTTACAACAACCCTGTGAAATAGTTTTTATCGTCTCTTCTTTACTGAGGAAGAAAGTGAAGGTCACTGTTTTCAGTCACTTGCCAAAGTTCATCCAGCTTTGTTTTAGTTACTAAGTGAAAAGCCAGATTTCAGCCTTGGCCTGTTTGATTACAAAACTTGTGTTTGTCCCTCTGCATTACACTGCTCCTATAGTGACATATTTGGTATTGGTTCACATCAGAGTTAATTGAGTAGCTTTTATGTGTATATGATTGTGATTTTAAAATTTCCATGTTTTGTCTTGTACATTAAGTTGTCAGCTATTAACAATAGCAACTAGTTAATCAACAAATTTCCCCAAAACTATATGGAAAGAATAAAGAGATATCCATACATACCTCTTAACCTGGAGCTATTGTTTAAATTGTAAATGTCATTGTTTTACAAGCTCTTCTACATAAGCGTCAAATTTGGCCTTTGTGATATGCTCAATAGGTTTTAGGAGTGAGGAGTGTTGTTTGAACTGAATGATCACTGTCTGGGTTTAGGCCTATAGCACTGTCTACTTTGCAGTCTTTCTTATTGGGTTCATGCTGTTTTCTCACCCAGCAGGGTACCTACCCAAAATAAAAGGTGAAACACTTTAATGGAAAATTTAAAGATTCTTTTTGTTCAGTTTCCTTAAATTGTGTTCCTTGTTCTCAATAAGATTCTTCAAAACTATACCCTTCAGCTCAGTTTTATAAAAGTGACAGTTGAACAAATAAATCTATTTAGGGCTTTAAAGGAAACTGTGCCAAATTTGAAATCAGGGAAACGTGAAAGGACTGAGAGGGCTGAAAAAGGCTTAAATACAAGCCGTGGTCTCCAGGCTCACCTTTGTTCCTCAGAGGAGGAAACTTTGTCAATTTCTTATTTTTTCTTTAGGAGCTTATCCTCATGTAGTATTTTTATGGATTTCTCTAACACGCTGACACTTTAAGCTCATCCTTCCTACCTTTGACCTTATAAAGTTGCAGTTCAAATTGAATTAGAAAGTGGAGTCTTTAAATCCTAATATGAAAGTTTTAACATATGAGTTTTGATAAAATACATTGTCTTTTTTTATTGGGTCCAACCATTACAGGTAAGTATTTTAGTTATCCATTTATCCTCTTCTGTTATTTTCCTCTGGCCATCAAAATAACAATCATCATCATTGTCATTACTGGGAGGGGTACATATTTTGTGAGAAAAATTGAGGAATAGAACTGAAACCCATAGGTGGAAATTACAGCTTAGTGTTAAAAACTTTTAGTTCAGTATAAGAACTTTCCAACAGAGCTGTGCAAAGGTAGTATGAGCTCTTAAATAAAATTACTTAAGCTCTTTGATCCTCAGTTTTCTCTTCTGTAAAATGAGAATAATTTACCATTCACCCTATAAAGTTGTTATGATGCTTAAAAGAGTTAACCCAATTAAGTACTTGGCCTAGAACTGGCAAATATACATGCTTAGAAAATATTTGTTGAATAAATGAATGGAAGTATACTCTCTATTTTGTGTTGAAGCCACAGAGAACTGTTTATTTGTCCCTGAATGTCCTTTCTCTCTTTTTTGCCTTTTCTTAAGACTCAAGCATCCTCCAAGAAACTTTCTCTGACTCCTCCAGAGAGTTAGATTCCCCTATCCCATTAGCTTCCCTAGGGCCTGTGGCTGTCACTGGCACTGACTGGAAATTGCTTGTGTTTCTGTCTGCTCCATAAGATTGTTAACTTCTTAATGATGAGACTGTGTTAATCATCTCTGTGGCTTTAGCACCTGCTGTAATGACTGGCACATAATGGATGGCTAATAAGTGAGTGTGTTGATAAGGATGATGAATGAAATACAAAGCTCAGGAAGGCTTTAGAGGCAGGTGAAGTTTAAAGGCAGGATTATGTGAAGATGCTAGTTATTTTTCTGCAGTGGCAAGTCTACTTTTAAAAAGATATCTTTTTCCGTATGCTGCTAGGTGTGAAAAATCCAATGTAAAAAATTTTAAGTTATTTAAAAATTCAAAATTCTCCTGCTTTTCTGAAGAAAACACATTTCCAAAGTAAAGGAGTGGCCTCAGGTGTCTCTGTTTTATATACTTTGGTGACTACCAGCTAGAAAACATTTCTGGCTGATGAGTAAGAAAATGTCTAAGAACCATGTGAAAATATCTTTATGTTCATGCTTCTCTCCTTTGGTTGCCTCACACAGATCCAAGTGTGACTGATTTTCTGATTGGAAAATACAGTCTGTAATTGTTGGATTTGAGATTTGCCAGTTAAGAGCTTGGGCTTTGAAGTCATGGAGACCTGGGTGCTGTTCTGCTTCTTCACCAAGTTAGCTGCATGGCCTCAGGCAGATTGCCAGTTTATATAAGTTAGAAATAATGACTGTCCAACAGTTATTTCAGGAAGTAGATAGACTATTATGGAAGTGAGCACTATGAAGGCAGAGATTTTGTCTGTTCACTGCTGAATCCCCTGTGCCCAGTCAGTGCCTGGCATGTAGTGGGCACTTAGTAAACATTTGTTGAATGAATGAGGACTTAATAAATGGTAGCTATTAATAGTTCCATTTCAGCAGTTTTTTGTTTTTGTTTTTGTTTTTTAATTCCACAGTGGTTTTGTTGGAATGATTATTTTTTTTCCTCAACCCCAGTTTTGGGGTAAGAAATTATTTTACCGTAAATGGTCATTCGCAGTTATTTAAATATAACTCCAAAAGGGAATTCCTGAGAAGCTGGTTAGTTTAACATCATTGCCAGCAATTAAGTGAGGCTCACTGTTGGGATTTTTATCCAGGCATCTAGATACTTTCATGAAAGCCATTATTATGGCTTTTTGCTTGTTTGTTTGTTTGTTTGTAAATTTCCTAGTGACTGGTTTAGCTTTCACATGTCTAGGACCAAGAAATTCAAGTCCATGTGCATCTTAGGTCTCTCAGCAACTCCAAACACTGTTGCTAAGTCACTAGGCTGATTCAGATGACCTTTTAAATCAAATGCAGTTTGCTTATTATGTGGCTGTTAGGATGGCTTTTTTGTTTTGCAAATAATGGTGAGTTTCCTATCTGGGTAGGTCCTGTCAAATTGGAATAATGATAAAGGCTATCTGTTTACCTAAGAGAATCTAACCCCTTGTGTAGTTTACTTTAAAAATTTATCTGGTAGTTGAAAACTAAGGATTATAATTTGTATTGTGAGTTTTCTCTTTTGTTTTTAATAAAACCAAAAAAGTACATTATTTTTTCAAGAATAATGTTGTCGTAACCGATTTTTTTTTTTTTTAAAGAAAAATGTGAGACTCTGGTGGGAATTTAAACTTGTGTTTCAAATACACATATATTTAATGTACCTAAATGTATATTTTCTCATTTAATTTGTACATTTGCCTAGAAAAAATGATTACATTAGTTTTCTGACCTCATTTTTATGAGAAATGCTTTCACATCCCTTTTCATGATTCATTTACTTCTCAGAAGTATTAACATGTTTACAGAATATGATAGTTATAAATATTTTATAGTTTATACCTTACTTCTACTTATATTATTTAACTCGGACTTCACAATATATTTGTGAGAGAGGGGCATTATCTTTAAAAGTTTTGAGGAGATAGTAAATGTGGGAATTGAGGGTCAGAGAGGTCAGGTGACTTACCCAAAGTCACGTGGCTAGTAAGGGTATAAAACTTAGATCTGCTTTGTTCTTGTCACTATTATACACATTTGAAGTCAGTTTCTATATATTTAAATTAATCATTTATATCAACTCCTTCTCATGTAAAAAGTACTGAAGCAATTTACATGTTCTTAAACTTGTGTACATGTATTTAATAGATCTCTTTTAGGTAAAGCATCTGATATAAGGCCAAAGACAACTAGATATTTACATTCTTTTTTTCACTCATTCAGTAAATATTTATGTGGCTCCTACCATGTGTCAGGTACTGAAGTTATGGTAATAAACAAAACAGACAAAAATCCCTGCCCTTGGGGAGTTCTAGTTTGAGAGAACATAATAAACAAGATAACACCTATAAAGACAGTAGGAGATAAGTGCTAAGGAAAAAAACAGGGCTATGAAATATTGGATGGAGGCAGGGTTTGAAATTTTAAATGAGAGTGACTAAGGAAGACCAAAGGGTCTTTTAGAAAATGATCTGGAGGAAGGAGCTAGCTAGCCATAAGTTTGGTGGGGTAAGAAAACCCCAAACAAAGGAGAAAGCAAGAAGGGCTTTGAGAGGTAAATGTCCCAAGCATATTCTCAAGGTCCACTAAGGAGGTCAGTGTGGTTGAAGTAGAGTTAATGAGGGAGAGAGTAGAAGAGTTGAAATCAGAGAGGCAGCAGAGGGCCCAGACCATGTAGAGACTTGTAGGACATAGTAAGGACTTTGGTTTATACTGTGAATGAAGTGGGGAAACTTGGAGTGTTTTGATTCAGATTTTAATAGAATCAGAGTGCTGCTTTATCTATAGCAGGGGGACAAGAATAGAAGCAAGATCAGTAAAAGGCTATTCAGGCTAGTGATAATGGTGACTTAGACCGGAGTAGTGGCAATGGATGTGGTGAGCAGTGTTCAAATTCTGGATATATTTCTATATATGGCTGACAGGATTTGTTGACAGATTGGGTGAGACAGAGAAGATTGAAGAGTGACACCAAACTTTTTGGCCTGAGCAACTAGGATTAGGTTGCCATTAACAGAGATTGGGAAGATATAGGGGAGGGGCGGATTGGCAGTTGGGGAGAATCAAGTATTCTCTTTTGGACCCGGTAAGTTTGAGAAGTTTTGTAAAAATGTAAAAGTAGACTGTTGAATTTTGGTTCTGAAGTTTAAAGGAAAGGTCCTGGCTCTAGACATTATTTGATAGTCATCTGTATAGATTAAACTCATAGATGAAGTTTTTTAACCCATTTTCTATTTGCTCTGAGAATACTCGCCAGCAGCACTTGCGGCTGCAGCGTTTACCCCGAGATAACTCACGGATTACAGTCCTAACCTTATCCCCAAAGTTTGCCACACAGTCTCTCTCTTTTATTACTATTTTCACATCACTCTAGTATATTAATAGTCTTTGGAAATAAATGACATCATTCTTTTTATAGCATTCTGGTTTTAGTAGTGGTATTTCCATTTACAAAATATAGTAATTCTCTATCGCTAAAAATGTCAAATCCTAGAAAACGTAGCATTCCTAACATGTGATGTTAACATTGTTCTTGAACAGTTAGTTGTTAGCCGAAGATTCATTTGATGAATCCAATTTATGTATACATATCTGTACATTAGGATAAGAGAGAAGTTCTGTTTAGAAATAACTCCAAGAACAGTTTTTATATTTTATTTCCACATTGAAGACCAGTCAGATTTGCTTCAGCCTCAAAGGGTATGTTTATGTAAAAGTAACACTGCAGGGATCTGCATTTAATTTCTAAACAGGAAATGGGTTAATGATTATGCAAATTATGTAAATAATTTCATATATCTGATAATGTGACCTTGAAGATTTGTTGTTTCAAGCTTTGTAACAATGTCAGTGAAATGGAATGTGCATTAACAAATGTAAGAACACATAAAAATGCTCTGTTAGTGATTTCAAGATATATATAAAGGTATACCAAGAGGTGCCATACAAAGAGAAAGTTATCTAATACCTGTCATAGGCCAAGTATTTGATACTTGAGACCAGATATTTCAGTCCCTATTTTATCCTCAGGAATCTAAGCTTCCATGAAATTAGGAAGAGACAGACCTGGGACAGGAACCCAGGTGTGTCTGTCTAATCCCAAAGCTCATGCTCTTCTTACTCTGCACCACACAAGTCAAGAGGGTATGTGCTGTTGGTTTCCAAAAGCAATCTTATGTCCACGAAACGCAATGTGTAAAATTGAGCATTGGACTAGCGTTATAAGACCTGAGTTTGTATCTCAGATTTGGCATTCTAGCTGAATGATTTGAGCAACCCTTAAGAATTGTAATTTAACTTACCTCACGGGGTTGTTGCAATGGTCAAATATGCAAGACTGTAAACTCTTAACCAGCTTATGCATGTGTGGAGTTAATAATACCAGAGAACAATTTGATTTGTAATAGCATCAAGAATAAAATACTCAGGAATTAGGTTAACAAAAGAAGTGTAAGACATATACATTGAAAACTACAAAACATTATTAGAAGAAATTAAAGATTTGAATAAATGGAAAGACATCTCATGTACTTGTGGAAGGGGTGATATTGTTAAGATGTCAGTACTCCATAAATCATTATACAGATTCAGTGCAATCTTTGTCAAAATCCTAGCTGGCTTTTTTATAGAAATTGACAAGCTTATCTTAAAATTTATATAAAAATGGTAGTTGATAGTCATGGGGATGGGGAGCACGGCATAGGGAATGCAGTTAGCATTAATATAATAGCTAGGTGGAGAGCCAGAGGAGAGAAAGAGCAATTAGAGGGATCATTTTATAAACTGTACAAATGTCTAACCAATGTACTGTATACTTAAAACTAATAATAAAATAAACTTTAAAAATTTTATATAAAAATGCAAGGGACTCAGAATAACCAAAACTGTATTGAAAAGGAAGAACAAATTTGAAGAACTCATACTTCCTGGTTTTGAACTCATACTTCCTGGTTTCAAACTTGTTATAAAGCTACCGTGATCAATACAGTGTGATACTGACATAAAGGTAGGTATATAGATCAGTGGAAGAGAATTGACAGTTCAGAAGTCAACTTTTATATGTTTGGTCAATTGATTTTCAGACAATTCATTGGGGGAAAGAATAGTTCCGTTCCCGCCCCCCGCCCCCCCAAGAAATAATGCTGGGGAAAACTGGATAATCACATGCAAAAAATGACATTAGATTCCTATTTCATACCATACAAAAAATTAACTCAAAATGGATCAAATGATTTAATTGATAACTCAACTTAAAAATAGGCAAGGATCTTAATAGATATGTTTTCAAAGAAGATATATAGATGTCCAATCAGTACATGAAAAAATGCTCAATACCATTGGTCACTTGGGAAATGCAAATCAAAACCACAGTAAGATTCATTTGACACCCACACAGGATGGCTATAAATCAGAGGATGGGAAAGATGGGTGGAAAAGGTGAAAGGAGATGTCAATAATATTGTGATGAGTTTGCACAGTGAGAAATGATTGCTAGAATTAATGGGGTTATCATTATAAGGTATAAATTATTGAATCACTATATAGAAATGTACACCTGAAACTAATATAACTAATATAATATACCAACTATACTTAAATTAAAAAAAAAAGATGTAAAAATTTAATAAGTGTTGATAAGGATATAGAGAAATTAGAACCTTCATATTTTGCTAGAGGGAAATGTGAAATGGTGCAGCCACTTTGTAAAACAGTTTGGTATATACCCAAGAGAAATGAGAACATTCATTCATGCAAAAACTTGTACATGAATGTTATAGGAGCAATATTCATAATGGCCAGAAAATTGAAACAACACAAATATACATCTAATGAATGAATAAATAAAACATAGCATATTCATACAATATGGAATATTATTTGGCAATAATATAGAATATTATTTGGCAATAAAAAGGAACAATATACTGTTATGTTACACTATGGGTTAAACCTGAAAACATTATGCTAAAAGTGAAAGAAGCCAATCATAAAAGACCCCTATTGTATGATTTCATTTGTATGATATGTCCAGAAAAGGCAAATCTGTGGTTGAGATAAAAAGTAGGTTAGTGGTTGCCTGTGGCTGAGAGTGAGCGAGGTTGGGGTATGGAAATGGGAATTACGGACTGCCAGTGAGTATGGGTTTCTTTTGGGAATGATGAAAATGTTCTAAAATTGTGGTGATGGTTGTAAAACTCTGAATATACTAAAAACCATTGAACTGTACATTTTAAATGAGTAGAATTTGTAGTAGGTGAATTATCACAACAAAGCTGTTAAATATTGTTAGGGATACTGTCTGTGGTTCTATTGAATTTTTACTTAGCTAAACTAAATAACCTGTGTCAAAGACTGATCCTGTGTACATCATTCTGAAATGTCTTGTGTGAACCAGCCAAGTCCAATAACCTAATAACATTTCCATAACTTTCAAGCTAATCTAAAATGGGGACTTTGAGTAATGACCAAAGTTTGAATTTTCAAATATAGGAAATTTTCTTTATCACTTTGATAGTTGGGTCTAGGAAAGAAAAAAACTGGTCTTGAGGGACTCCTGTGTGCCTGACACTTGTGCTTATTAAATACATCTGCATGTACCAGCTGGTTTAACCCTTACAACAACCTTATAAGGTAGGCCCGGTTATCTCTGTTTTACAGATGAAGAAAGTCACATGGCCTTTGAGTAATGAGGCTAGGATTAGAATTTAGGCTTCTAGATTCCAAGTCCCAGAACAGTCTGGGCTGATTCGTAGTGTACAATTTTCATTCCTCTCTGGTTCTATTTCTTGCACTTGGTTGGAAAAATGTTGTAAAACTCCAATCAGAAGCTCCTTTCTATATGACAGATTAGATCCTCAGATCAAATCCCCAAGATTATAATTTTAGCTGTCATGCATAGTATAAGTTTTCTTCTATCTTATCTGGGTATAGATATGAAACACTAACAATCTTATTTTTTCTTCTTTCTCTCACGTAGCAATGGTGACCTAGACCCCTGGTCAGGAGGTGGAGTAACCAAGGACATCACAGACACCTTGGTTGCCATCACTATCCCAGAGGGGGCCCATCATCTAGATCTCCGAGCCAACAATGCCTTTGATCCCACGACTGTGGTATTAGCCCGCTCTATGGAAGTTAGATACATGAAGCAGTGGATCAAAGATTTCTATGCCAATCTAAGAAAGAAGTACTGAGCAACTTTGGATCATTTTCACTTTCTTCTTTTATATTCATTTCACCTACATTCCCATTTACTTTGGTTTTCTACATGTAATTACTTTGCCTTGTTTATCATTTGTCATTTTTGGTGGGGCAAAGGTTGAGATAGAAGAGAGGGTGATGGTGGTGACAGCAGCCATCCCGCACCCCAGGTCCTCGTCATCTTTATGCCACTTCCAAGAAGAATCTCTTCATGACTGCTTTCCTGCATGATCAGTGGGCCTCATAACTGGAGCAGAGTTCCTGACTGCCTTTTGCAAAAGGGAGAGTCAGTCCCTTTGTTTCTCTGCAGGCAGAGATTTCTCTTGGTTTTGAGATTGAAGTCTCTTTGGCCCATTTGTCATTTCTCCACCCATGCCCTCCCAAAGGAAAAACAAAGATAGATAAAAATGATGTAATTGCAGCTGGTAGGAAGGATGTCCGATGCCAATCCAGGAAATAGGGGCCATTTCTTTTCTACTTGATTTAATGATTTTGAACCGTGCTGTAAATAAAGAATAAGGCTGGACCTTATACCTGTGTGTTGCTTCTGAGGCTCACTCCAGCTGTTGAGAATGCTATGTGCACTGGGCTTGGCTGTTTTTGGAAAGTCCTTTTATTTATTCCACTTGGCAGCTTTTCTTAGTTCTGGGATATTTGCCACTGTGGTACTGCCAGTAAGAAATCTGGCCTTTTTCTGCTCTATTTCTCTTTGTTTCTAAGGTCAGTTTTGTAGTAATTTGGTTACATTTTGCCAGTTTAGGAAAATGACTATTTTGTTTTTCCTTTGACATCAGAGCAAGCTTTTATATACTGTGGTCACTACTGATAGTTTAGTAAGAAGCCTTTAAAATTGATGAAGTTGACTATTCAGAAGGTAGAATATAGTTATAGTCAGCATTTTTTTTTTTAAATTTTATTTTCTGGTGGTCGTTGCTACTGTCCTTTAAGCCAGAAGTGTCAGGACACTAAGAGGCAGGTGCACAAGAACTTTTCTGTGTGGCTTCCGAAAGACAAGCTGACTAATTCATGCGGGCAGCATATTTGACATTAATAAATGGCTGAGCCATTCCTATTTCCAAGGGGTTGGCTTCTTTCAAGCAGTTCTTACACTGAAACCTTTCTTCAGAAGAGCTTTTCTAGGATAACAAATAGAGTTGGATCAAAACCTTTCAGGGACACAGAGAGAGACTAACAGTTTCTACTCTTTTGAAAGATTTCTTCCCCCTTGTTTCTTTTTATTTTCTCTCAAAAATTTGTTTTCTTCACCCTGCCTTGGGAATATTTTCTATTTTTTAAAAACTGTACCTTGGTCTCGATTGCTAAAGCACTAATTTTTTTTTTAATATGCAGATATTAAGTTAATTCTTGGATGAGAGACTGAAATATTTCCCTTATTTTCCCTGGCATCTGGAGATACAGAAAAATCTTTGTCTGGTTTCGGAAGCCTCCAGTTCTCATTATAATGAGTTGTCCATCAAAGCATTTGGTCACTATTTTTATTTCAGCATCAGAAAAAGTCTGCTGAGATGGGAATTCAAGGGTCAAAACAATACTAGTTTTTATTCTTTGTCAACTGAGAAGTTATATAATGTAGGGTTTATGGGCTTAATGGAAGATATGATTGCTATTTATTTTAGGATATTGATTTTAGGATATTTTCCTTGAAATCTTTTTACTTGTTTAAAATCTGTAAAATACTTTTCTGCTTCATTTAATATTTTTTGGATGAGTTGCATTTTATGAAGATGAAAATTGTCAAAAAAAGACTTCTGCAAGTATAATTTGGTCTTATGTACATGTTTTTTTCTATGTATAGTTCATGACAGACAGCATACTTAACTAGAGTTAGCCTAATTATAAATGCTGAAATTTAATTTTAAATTGAAAATAATTGGAACATTAAATAAACCTTATTATTTAAAGTATCCCCTAATTAATAGATAATGCTTTTGAAAGACTAGAAAAGAGACAAAGAGTTGGGGTAGTTTTTATTTTCTCTTTCTGTTACTTTAACTACCTGGAGTCAATAGATAGAACTAAAGAAAATTAGAGATCTTGCATAAGGGTTCTGTAGAATCCAGAGATTATCAAGAGGAGTCAGTGTCTTGTGTAGCATATTAGAGTGAAGGCACCTTGGATTTCTAGTCCAACCCCATCATTTGTGGGTGATGACGTTGCGCCACAGAGAGAAGGGACTCATCATTGTTTCGTTTTATTGGAATAGCTTAATCTTTGTTTGGATTCAAGAAACAAAACCTTGCCAAACCAGTTTAAGTAAAGAGGGAATTTATAGAAACTGCAGGAATAACTCTAAAACTTGGGAAGCTAGAAATCGTGAGGGAATGGAACTGGGGTCTAGAAAGTCATTAAAAGTCAAGACTGCTATTTCTCTTTCACTTTGAACATAGATCGTCGTTCTCAGCTACAGGTGAGATTTGTTCCTCAGATGTTTATTGTTTGGCTAGCAGGCTAAAGTGTGCATGTGCATCACATTACCTGAAGGGCTTGTTAAAATATTGATTGCTGAGCCCCACCCCAGCATTTGTAATATGTCTATGGTGGATCCTGGGAAGTTGCATTTCTAACAAGATTCCAGGTGATGCTGGGGGATCACATTTTGAGAACCACTAATGGAAAGAATTCTGAATTTCAGTTTCTTCACACAGGACATGTCCCTTCAGTTCACCTCACTCCTGTTGTCCTGCCTGATCTCATTAGAGTATGGGAGCCCTGCCTAATATTTCTTTTCCCATGGCTGCTTCATTCTCTCTGCAGACCAGCTTCCTCTTCTGTGCTTGCATAGGGCCCAGGATGACTTCCCAAAATGATGTCTGAATTCAGGCTCCTGAGGCTGCACCTCACAAGCCCTCATCTCTCAGGTAGTTAGGGAGGGACAAGGTCATGAAAACATGGCTTCAGAGATACAATATTTGGGATGGAGGGGGAATAGTTCAGGCAACTCAGTATATTTATGTCACACAGCGTCTCTTGGAACACAGGTATCCAACAAAATGCCAATGTCTTGTGTAGTAGAAAAGACCATAGTTAAGCAAGTTTGGAAAATAACAGATGAAGCAAAGTGAAATACTTTTTTTTCTTAATCTGTCAATATGCATTGTTACTCTCCAAAATAGTAACCGAGAATGCAGCTTTTCTTACTTATAGAGCTGCAACGCGTAAGGCATTGTCCTGAAACCTGGAGAATACAATGGTGAAAATGCACACTATGTGTTCTAATACGGTTTACATTTTTGTGGGAGAAAGATATGAAATGTCAAATTATACCAAGAGTCGGTACAATTGTAAGTGCTATGAAGAGGGGGCGCTCTAGCAGGGAATCTGAGCCAGTTTGTGGAAATCGGAACACTCTTTTGAAATGTGACATTTTAGCTGTTATCTAAATGATAAGTGGGAGCTATAGAAGGAAGAGGAGTGGAGAAAACAGTGCAAGAGTCCTGAGAGTAGCACATTCAAGGAACTGAAAGAAGGCCAACGTAATGGGACAGCAGATAACCAAAGAGGAAGTGACGTAAGATGAATTTAGAGACGTTAGCAGGGAGAAATCTCATTCAAGTAGATCATGATAAGGAATCATAAGAGATGAGAATACATCGATGGTCCATAATTAGGGAGTGACATGAACAGATTTTTCTTTAAAAGATCATTCTGGAGAATGTCTATTAAGATCCTCTGCCCAGTTTTTAATCAGATTGTTTGGGATTTTTTTTTTAATATTAGCTATATGAATTCTTTATATATTTTGGATATTAACCCCTTATCAGATATATCATTTGCAAATATCTTCTCCCATTCATTGGGTTGCCTTTTCATTTTGTTGATGGTTTCCTTTGCTGTGCAAAAGCTTTTTAGTTTGATGTAATCTCATTTGTTTATTTTTGCTTTTGTTGCCCTTGCCTGGGGAGACATATCCAAAAAATTATTTCTAAGTCCTAGTCAAAGAGTTTATTCCTTATGCTTCTTTATTCTAGGAGTTTTCTGATTTCTAGTCTTATGGAGTAGAGAGAAAAGTGAAAAGGTGAAGGGGAGGGAATATGAGATACAAATTTCCAGTTATAGAGTTAATATGTCATGGGGATATAATATACAGCATAGGGAATATAGTCAATAATATCCTAATAACCTTAAAAAAAAAAAAAGCACTCGGTGTAGAGTGTTCATTGTAGGGTACAAGCATGTGCTATAGAAGACCACTGTTGTCCAGGTATGAGAATAGATAGTTTTATTAAGGTGGTAAAGGTGGAAATGAGAAGTGGATGAATTTGAGAGATTTAGTAAGGAATGCCAGTGGTGGTGGGTTCTATATGAGATAGGAGTTGGGTGGGTGTCAAGGACGATAATTTCTGGCTTGTGTGCTTAGATAGATGGTGGTGTCATACACTAGAAAGGCAGCACTGGAGGGTGACCAGGTTTGGCGGGAAGATTATGAGTTTGGTTTAGTTTTGTAATGCTGAGTTTTATGCACTTTTGAAATAAACAAGCGGAACTAGCAGTCAAATGGGACTGTTGGATGTAAACATCTCTCAGTTTGGGCTGAGAGCCGTAGTGCATAGATGGTAATCAAAGCATGCGATGTGAGCTCAAGGAACTTGTGTTCAGGAAATATACTTCAGGAGCTGCTGCCATACTGTACCTACCATGAATGCATTCTTAGGAAATCCACAACTAGTACATACGACTCTACTGAGCCAACCCACCACTTGATCCCTGGTAAAGCCTTTGCTTAAACTGGCATCTACTTCTCTACATTCATTTTCCATTCTTCCTGCTACCTTTCACTTTCCTAACATCCAGCAATTCAGCCATACCAAACTTCCTGTTGTTCTAAAATACCTCTCTGTCTAAAATTCCCTTCTCAGCACTATCCTCCAGAATGTTTTCACTGGCAAATATCTATGCATCTTTCAAAGCCAAGATCTTGCTTACTTCCCCCATGAAGTCTTTCTCAGCTTTCCTAAAGGGAGTGGTTTCTTATCTATGCTCTCACAGGACAAGGTTCACACCTAGCTTGTCAACTAGAATGTAAACTGCATCAAGGTGGAGATTGTCCGTCTTGTTCATGTTTGCATCTCCAGCACCTGACCACCTCTAGTTTAGCACACATACTCCAAATTGTAATGTTTTTCTAAATGTTCTTACCCTCTTTTCAGGGACATCAAGCTCTCTGAGAGTAGAGTCTTATTCCTTCTAGTAATCAGCATCTAGCATGGGGCCTGGCAGCCAGGTCTCAGTAAGCCTTTGTAAATTTATATAAATGGATACATTTCAGAGTGGGAAGACCAAGCTTTCTATCCATCTCTCTCTGCTCACATGACCTCCTCCCTTGGGCTTCCCCGGATTTTGGAAAGAGGATCTCCTTGTACTACTCAAAACCTCTAGAACTTGGACTTAACTGATTTTCCCTCACTTCAACTGCATGTGCCCCTGGCTCCTCCCATTCCATCAGCCTGGAATTCCTTGTCAAGGGGGCTGACTGTAACTCTGCCTTGATGTTAGGTGGGAACAGAACACTG